TCTCACGACCCATTTCAGTATCTGGCCGGTTTGTACGGATAGATTGTTCGATGGAGTGAACGAATGATTGGATGAATGAATGAATGGGTAAACGAATGTATTAGTGAATAAAGGAATGAATGAATGAATTAGTGAACGAAGGAATTAGTTTATGGTTAAACAGACTCATATGCTGAATAACGCCGATGCATGATATTAAAAAATATTATAAAAATTATTTCTGTGATAATACTGATGATGATAATGTTGATGATGACGATAATGTTGATGATGATTGTAATGTTGATGATGATGTTGACGATGATGATGATGAGGACAACGGTGATGATAATGATAACCTGATGTAATGTCTCCATTATCAACAGAGCAGTCGCGAACTAGAACGGAATACGTTTCTGTATGTTTGTGTTTGTATGTGTTTGTGTGTACCTAAGTGTGTGTGTACATGTGTATGCTTGTAATAATGTATGTGTATGTGTACGTGTGTGGTGTGTTGATGCTTCATAAGTACGTATGTAGAAATGAAACTCGACATCTTATATGAAAAATAACAATGAGAAGAGAGAGAGAGAGAAAGAGAAAGAAAGAAAGAGAGAGTAAGAGAGAGAATACAAACACAACAGTATACGTTAAAATAAGGATATATTGAAGTTGCTTCGATTAGGCAAACAATATTCTTCATTTTGTTTTTTTAGTATATTTGTTTGTTTATTTGTGTGTATGTTTGTGGACAGAGTGAAAGAAAGAAAGATGAATAAATAAATGAATGAATAAGTAAGTGAATTGATAATAAAATGAATGGATAGATAGACGAAAGCTTAAAATCATTAACGAAGACTCAATTAGTACATTACAGGACATAAAAAGACATACCGAATATTGAAATAACCGACCGTTGTAGGCGATAAACTTGATACAGCTATCCGCCGGAAAGAGTCCATTCCTATTTTTTCGGCCAGACATACATTGGTCTTTGTAGAGATGGGGATATCCGTCAAATGTGTCCTCGCATTCCGGGTTATCTCCGTTTATAGAATGACAGACAAAACAACCGATTCCATAGCCTTTGGTTGAATGAATACATGAATAAATTAATGAATGTGTGAATGAATGGATAGATAATTAAATGAATGAATGAACACACTACATATTCCAATATAATTGAACGTACTAACATTCTTCGATGAAGGCTGTAGCTATCCAAGTTAAGAAGATATACAAATATATATTAAAACCATCCATCCATGTGTATATGTATGTATGTATGCCTTTTTAAACCTCAATATATTTGTATGTATTTAAAAAACGCCCGTACATTTAATTCTTTCAACTATAATTAAATCAGACTTATATTATAATTAATTATTTTCAGCAATAATATCCATAATAATGTAGATGCCTACCCGTACTTGCACATATTTCTCTTAAGGTTCATTCAACTAAGGTAGCATGTTTTACTGGAAAACCTAGCGCTCAAACATCATCTTTATAAATTCATACAAGCATAGGTACATGCTTACAAACATACATACATTCACACGTACATGCATACGTACAAACAAACCTACATACATAAATACATACACACGTACGTACATACATGCACACATGTTATATAATAATACGGTTATCTATTTCATTTAACTTTTGAAAGATAAAATACAATAAAAACGAGGATGATAATGCAGATTAGGATGATGATGCTGGAGATGCTGATGAAGCAGTGTTGATAATGATTGCATAGTCTCCAAAACAGCTGAATTAGCGGCAGCTTGCTTTGTCCAATGCTCTTTGTATGTATGTGTGCATGCATGCATGTATGTATGTAATTATGTATGTATGTATATATGTATGTCGGTTGGTCGCAGATGTATGTATGTATGTATATATTTATTATTTCCACAATCTTATTAACTTTCTCTTCTTCAGCGGTTCAAACATATCAGAAATAGATAATAGTTTCCAACTTTTATTACATATAACTCTAAAAATATTGATAGCATTTAACGAACCAAATGATGACCCGAACAAGGCAATAACATTAGATCATCGTTATCATCATCAACACTATCATCATCGTCGTCGTCGACATTACATCACAGATACGTCATCGAACTTTAATCACGTGATAGCGTCTACTTCGATAAAATGAGAACCCTTTTAAGAATAAAACCACAGTCAAACTGAAAATGAGCAGCAGAAAAATTAAACTGGATCCCGGATTCTTCTGTCCGGATTGTAAGTCCTGGTTATCTTGAACTCCGCCACCATCATGGTTGTCGACCACCTCACTTACTTCAATATTTCTTGATTGCTGGAATAATTTTTCATTTAATAATATTCGTAAGAAGGAGGCAGATGAGATGTTGAGCCGCTTTTTGAAATCAAAATTAACATCCAACAGAAACAATACTAACTGAATGATACACGAATGCGTTGACAATTTTGAAGAACTTAAAACTCGGAAACAATTGTAACCTCACAAAAACCAAAAAATGATCTGATATGACAAACAATGCAATGAATATGTATATATAATATTAAATGGAATTCAATATATCCTTGATACATCATGAATGTTATCTGGGAAGAAATTAAAAGCCACATCATCATCGTCATCGTCTGCATAATCGTCGTTAACTTAGGTATTAATCGCGTCATTTAATCATCAATCGTCATCAACATTATCGTCTCCTCCAACAGTCATCGCAATCAAAACAAACATCATCTTCATCATCCTCATCATAGTCACAACTCCTCATAAGGCACCTGTACATATTTGGCAGCTTCAGAGCCAGCAATCCTACCAAACACAACACACTCCAGTAAACTATTTCCGCCTAATCTGTTCTGACCGTGGACTCCACCAGTGACTTCTCCGGCTGCAAAAAGTCCGGAAACCACAGTTTCGGCAGCGCCCTCGTGCGACGCTTTGCGATAAACGCGAGCCTGTGCGTCTATCTTCAAACCTCCCATGCAATAATGAAGAGATGGGGTGACGTAGGCGATGTAAAAATGATCGCTGTCGGTATCGAATATAACCGGGAATATTGTCTTACCGAATTCATCTTTGCGCTGGTTCTGAGCCGACAATTTGTAACTTTCCAGCGTTCGACGAAGATCTGATTCGTTCTGTAGTTTCAGAGTTTTGACGAGATTCTCGAACGATCCGACATCTTGTATGAGACCTTTAAATTTGTAGAAACCGGCTGTACCTTTACCGAATCTTTCTAAGATAGCCTCGTTTAGCAGGAGAACGGCGTAAGTCGGACTGCTCTCGTCCATCACGTCCCCTGTTTCCTGTGTGAACCTCTGACAGTTTTTGAAGATGGCGTCAGTGACGTAATCTCGTCTGGTTAATTCGTCGACGAAACGATTTCCGTGTGAATTAAGCAGCAGACCACCACATCCTCTCAGCGATTCTGGAGCTAAAAATTTACTGTTTGATTTAGGATCTTTTGGATCAATGAACCCAGTGGGATGAACCTGAATTTTATCCAGTTGTATCAGCGACAGATTATCATTCAATGCAACTTTTATAACATCTCCAGTAGCCCAAACACCGTTCGTTGTCGGCAATTTTGCTAATTTAGGAGCATACTTGATGAGTAGGGAATCATCCGAACGATCATGAGCGAACCCACCAGCCGACAAAACCACGGTGCCGTAAATTGATTTTTCGGAATTATCTGGAGCAAGGTACATTACACCCACGACGGAATTACCTCTATAAATTAGACTCAAAAATTTACTTTGGGTAAGAATAGTGACAGTAGAGTTTAGCTTTGTTTCAATGTACTTACGAAGAGTTGACACGAGAGTGAAACCAACGGGAACAGGTTTACCGTCTGCTGATGGTAAGAATCGATGTGAACGAGCAACTGAATGACCACCAAGCTGAACAACATCATTTAAATCTGCTGTAAGATTTTTCAAATGTTCAATGGCGTCTTTACTCTTGGATGTCAAAATTTTGACTAACTCGGGGTCAGAAAAACCATCTCCAGATTTTATGGTGTCCTGTTCAAAAAGAGTCCACTGATCATGAATGCCTAAACGTTTCTGAGTGTCCGTTTCGGCCCCATTTATGCCAGATGTTGCCTTGGCCGAGTTTCCACCTACAGACTTTTCTTTTTCAATGATGGTGACGTGGGCACCTTGAAGTCCAGCTTTTACGGCAGCTGACAGGCCAGCCAGGCCACCCCCAACCACAATCACCTCACTATTTGACATTTTTATCGTCAGCCAAAAAGTCTGTAAATGTAAAACATCATATTTAAGTTTTAAGATTTTTTCATTTTTTAATTTAAATTATTTATTTTATCTTTATCACAAAAGATAATAAAAAAGATTTGCAAAAGCTGACATGCGGTGTAAGATGTAATGTCACTAATTAATTAGAAAATAACTATAAATAGAAACCTAATTTTTGACATTTAAATGATCAAAACGATCAAGAACTTTGCCCACTAACCGCTAACAATATGCTGATAAACAAATAACCAGCCATCACTAAGCAAGCAGTAACTATTGAAAAATTTAAAAATAAACTTTTAAATTTAAAAGTAAACTTTAATCATACAAGTACTTGTCGATTATTTGTTGAAAAAAAAAACATCTAATGCCTTCTTACTTAGATGTATATGTATATTTTTGTTATAATAAATAAAATTTTAAATTTATTTTAATTAAATATACGCATAAATAGTCAAGAATTTTGTAAAATTCAGTAAAATATAGGGCATTCTTCTTGTGTAAATTGTTTCAAGACCATCTCCGATATAAATTTATTTTTAAATGGTAGTTTTTAAATTGTCCGAACCAAAATGTCTGAAATGTTTTTCAAATTTGATCAAAAAATCGTCTGTCTTCGGCTTTTGTTTTATGGTTAGATGATTCATCTGTTTTAAATCTTTCATTTTCATGAAAAAAGTTTTCGCCAGACAATGGCGTCGGAGTTGACTGTAATTTTTAAACTTTTTATAGTAGAATTTTTAATTTTTTTGTAAGAAATTTTCCTAAGACCTGACTAAATTAAAGGTTCTTTTTTAAAGTTGATTGTTTTATTTTATATTTTATTATAATTATATTATGTTATTGTATATGTATACAGTTGTCTTAAGTTACTTTTATAATTTATATACATCTGATTTTTGCCAATATTTCTACATGCACAAATTACACACACATGCAGTTGTATTGTTCCTGATTAGTCCATTGGAGGTGGGGGCATTGAAATGCAACTGCAACTACGGAGCTGTGAGTTGTAAGAACAATATCTGCACAACGGATGATGAAGGAAAATGCTACTTTCGAATTTACAGACTTATGCAAAAGGAGGAAAGAGAATTGGGGTTAGTTTTTTTTTGTAATTTTTTTCTACAACTTTTTTAAGTATTGGTTTCATCAGTCATTGTAATATTAAATTAATCATGCTTTGTTTACGACAACAAATTTAATTAGTGAATTCAACAAAATAAATAATTTTTTCTCTAACCTCTAACTGAAGGTGCCTGGATAAAGCCGATATGGTACCGCAAGGAAATCCATTTCAATGTCATAGCAGCATAGTAGCAGCCCATAAGGAAGTTCGGAACTGTTGCAGTACAGATTTCTGCAATGGGAAACTTGAACCTCGGTTCACCCTGGCCCCCCCACCCCCAGGCTACAAAGAAAAAACTTTTCGAGATGATTATTTAGGGGAAAGTAAGTATATTCTAATACACCTCTTTATTGAAATTATTTTTATATTTTAATAAAATTTTTATTTATTTATTTATTCATCAACTTCACCTTATTAGATTTTGTAATCTCAAAGACCATCTTAACCGTGCTGATAGTCTGCACGTGCTCCATCGTAGTGGCAGTCATCGTGACAGTCTTCCTCATCAAGCGCTGCAACTTTGAGTGTCTGAAAAATTTAAAGAAGTTAGCTAGGAGGAAGCCGACGTCCTCTTTGGCTCTCTCTAACAATAATGGTTCTGCCAGTGGGGGTGGTGGGCATAGGAAGGAACCTCTCCTCTCCGTCGCCAGTACCACTAACACCGAGTTGAATAATGACACATCACTGTATGCTGAGTCTGGGTCTGGGGCTGGTTAGTTGATTAGCGGATTATTTGATTAGTGAATTAGTAGATTTGGGAATTGTTTGATTAGTGAATTAGTTGATTAGGGAATTATTTGATTGGGGAATTAGAACTTACCTTATCTTCTATACCCATAGGCATGCCGATATTCAACAGGATGACAATAGCCCGACAGATCACCCTGGAGACTATAGTGGGTACTGGGAAGTACGGGGAGGTGTGGAGGGGGCATTGGATGGGGGAAGAGGTTGCTGTAAAAATTTTTCACTCCAGAGAGGAAAGGTCATGGACAAGGGAAGCTGAGATTTATCAGATCGTCATGCTTAGGCATGATAACGTTCTGGGGTTTATTGCTGCTGATAATAAAGGTTCGTTTGTTTGCTTGTGTGTGTTTGTTTGTTTGTGTGTAAGTATGTTCGTATTTTCAACTGCAGTTATTTTAATTGTCATTTTATATATCTATATCATTTATTGTTAACTGTTTATCATGAAAATACAGCCCAATTAAGTTTTTTGACAAATCGTGAATCATACTCTCGTACATACGTTCACACACACACACACACACACATACACAGACGCGCGCACACACACATTATGTATACATACACGTACATACACACACACAGACATAGGCACATGGACTCAGCTATGGCTGGTAACTGAGTACCACCATCATGGTAGCCTGTTTGATTATCTTAATGCACATACTGTTGACTTGAATGTGATGCTGCAGATGCTGTTTAGCATTGCCAGTGGCGTTTCACACCTGCACACTGAAATTATTGGCACTAGAGGTTCGTTTTTTCGTTCGTTTACTGGTTCATTTTTTCGTTCATTCTTTCGTTCATTCATCCATTCACTCATTCGTTCGTTTTCTTGTTATTTCACTCACTTTTTTGATCACTCATTACTCAATTAGTAATTCGTTTACAGGCTCACTTACCGTCTCATTCATTCATTCATTCGTTTAATTTTTCATTTCCTCATTCATTTCTTCATTTATTCATTCATTCATTTTTTACTCATTCGTTCGTTCATTCATTCGTTCGTTCGCTCATTCATTCAGGCAAACCGGGAATAGCTCACAGGGATTTGAAATCTAAGAACATTTTAGTTAAGAAAGATTTAAGCTGCTGTGTGGCCGACCTCGGTGAGGAATGACGACGACGACGACGACGAGGATTATTATTATTGTTATTATTATTATTGTTACTCTACTACTGCTAAGAATCATAATAATAATAACGACAGGTCTGGCCGTGAAGCACGAGCCCGGCTCGAACTTGGTGGACATTGGAGATAACAACAGGGTCGGAACTAAAAGGTAACTTCGATAATAATGATAATAATAATTATAATAATAAAAAAATAATTATAATAATGATGATGATATTAGTAATGATTATAATAATAGTAGTAGTGGCAGTAGCAGTAGTAGTAGTAGTTCTATCAGTAGTGAATTTCTTAGCTAACGTACATTTTACTGGTAGTTTTGTCATTATTGTCATCATAATCCTACTGATGGCTACTTGCACTTCACAAATACCATCGTCCATCGTTAAAACTAGTAAGTACTACAACTGCTGCTGCTTCTACTACTACTACAACAACTACTACTACTACTGTTACTACTGTTACTTCTACCACTAAAACTATTTGTATTACTACTACTACTTTGCAAATGCTATTAGAACTGGTACAGCAACTACTACCGCTGCTACTGCCGTAACTACTACTAGTACTACTACTACAACTACGACTGCTACTACCTTTACTACCACTACTACTGCTGCTACTACTTCTAGGTACATGCCGCCAGAAATACTAACGGAATCATTCGACCCGCACGACTTCAGCTCATTCCAGATGGCTGACGTGTACAGCATAGCACTCGTCTTCTGGGAAATTGTCAGGAGATGCGATGCACTGGGTAGGTTATGATAATGATGATGGTTGTAATGACGATTGTGATGGTGATAATGATGAAAATGTTGATGATGGTGATGAAAATGTTGATGATGAAAATGATGACGATGACGACTGTGATGAGGATGATGAATGCGATGATGGCAAATGCGATGGTTGGAATGAAGAAATTCGACGCACTTAAGATGTTACATACTATTACATCTTAGGGCCCCCAGCGGAATTTCAACTGCCCTACTACGACTGCGTGCCCTCCGATCCCACCCACGAGGAAATGGTCAAGGTCGTTGTCCTGGAAAATAGGAGACCTGAGATCGACTCTGATTGGCTGAAAAATGAGGTCGGTCAGAGTTCAACCCTGATTGGCTGAGAATTGACGTTGTTTTTATGTGGCCTACGCACTTTAATTTGACATAGACACACACGCATGCACTCACTCACACACACTAACACATACATACACAAACAAACACATACATACGCATATACAGGCATACAAGAACATATGTGAACTGATGAAGACATGCTGGCTAACTATTCCAGGAATCCGACCTACCGCTCTGAGGATAAAAAAATCCATCATCAAATTCAACAATCAATTCAACAACAATAATAACATCAGCAACAACAGTAACAACAATACCAACAGCAGAATCAACTTCAGCAACAGCAATAGTAGCTACAACAAGTACAATATTAACATTAACAACAACTACAATTACAAAAGTAACAACACTAACAACAACAACAACGTAAATCGGAGCTACGTTGCAGGCTCACTGGCGAGCAGTAGCAACAGTTGTAGTAGTAGGATCAACAGTAAGAACGTCGTCAACTACAGCAACAAGAGCTTAAGTAACGGTAGTAGTAGTATCAATAGTAATAATAATAATGTTTGTAATAATAAGAATAATAATAATAGTAATGCTGGTAGTGTTGCCATTGCTAGCGTTAGTAATGTTAACAAGAATAATAATAATAAAAATGGTACGGGAATTAATAATAATAGTAATAATAATAATAATAGTAGTAATAAAAAAAATAATAATAGTGTTGTTGTTGTAAGACGAGACGATGTTGATGATGTTTTTATCGACGTGGTCGGCGATGATGATGATTACGAGAGTAATGATAGTGATCGCAAATTGAGGGTCGCTATAGGTGATGACGATTTGAAGGGGCGGGAATAGATGATGCGATGATTGGTCGATGGATCGATTGATTGATTGGTCGATGGATCGATTGATTGATTGGTCAATCGATCGATTGATTGGTCGATTGATTGATCGTAATGTCTAAACAATCTGATTTTTAAAGTATTCTTTTTTTGCGCGATCGATTTAATGATTGATTGGTTGTGATTGATTGGCTTGATTTATTTATTTATTGTTATAAACTGTAATTTCGTTAACCATGCATATGTACGTGTGTGTATGTATATATATATATACACCTACGCATATTTTTAAACACACACAAACACATTGGGATTGTCTCACGTCTATATAACTTAACCTGCTGTTTTGCTTACATGTTATATACATTATATAATCTAACCCATACTAATTAGATTATATATATATATATATTGTTATTGGCATTAAATCCTTGATCGTACTTAACTAATACTTATCGATAAGTCATTATCGAATGAGATGTTTAATTGAATCATCTTTCAATTAGTTCATTAATTATATAATTTGAGAGTTGACTTTGATTGACTGATTGGTTTAGCTTGTTGATTGGTTGATTGATTGACTAAGTAACCAACCAATCAATCAATCACATTTGGTTTTTTTTCTGTTATGCTTTGAACTTCTTCATTTTCGAGTTTACTACTAACACTAACAACCGTTGATGATTATTATTGCTATTAATTATAGTTACTCAATTATAATTATTATTATTACTGCGTTCTATTATTGTTATTATTATTATTATATTGTATAATTATTGCTATCGTTTGGAGAATTCCCCATTGGCTGTATTTTCGCTATTTATTCCCGGTCACATTATTATATTATCGCTGTAGTTATTATTATTGCTTATTATTATTATTATTGTTTATTATTATTATTTATTTTTGTATGTTTATTCATTTATTTTTAAATGCAGCTCTGTGAAAGCTAGAGCTGCCTCGTTTTGATGGTTTTTTTTGCTTCCTTGAAACAGAAATCTTACAGGGGGAGGTCTATTTCATACTCTAACTTATTCGTAATAATAATAATAATAAATAATAATAATAACAAAAATAATAATAATAATAATAACACTCAGCAACTAACGTAAACTTAATCGTCGCAAACAATCACACTCACCGTAATTATTATTATTGTTGTTGTTGTTATTATTATTGCTGTTGTTATTAAGTGGTAAGTTATTTATCATCTTTTTTTTGGGGGGGGGACTAAATTGATTAGAGAATGTCTTCTTCATCGTGTTCCTCTTTGCATATCTCTTCACTGGTATAGGTGCCTGTGTGTTGTTATTATATTATATTATAACATAATATAATACAATAATGAATAAATAAATGAATGAATGAAACGAATGAATGAATAGACGAACGAACGAAGAAAGAATGAATAAAGAATTGAATAAAAGAATAAATAAATAGACAATTATTGAATGAATGGAAAAATGATTGAAAGGAATGAATAAATAGACGAACGAATGAATGAATGAATATATGGACGAACGAACAAACGAATGAACAAATGAACGAACGAGTGACAGACCTTGCGGTACGGACTGACTGTGTCCAACGAAAGAATTCTTCATGACTACTTCATCAGCAATCTTGGCGTCAGAGCATATCAAGCTGTTACTCATCTTAACTCTGTGTTTGTGCGAGTGTGTATGTTTTCATATACATGTGTGTATGTATGTGTATTTATGCACGTGTGTATGTGTGTGTGTGTTACTGTTATTCTTATAAAGCGTTTACTTGTCTCCGATGACGACTCCATCCATGATCAAGCAGTGATTTATCTCGCAACCGTCTCCAATCTGACAATTATTACCGACCGTGGAGTTCCTCACGTGTGACCTCTGACCCGGTTTCGTCTCGTTAGCCGGTTTGGAATCAATACCTTGCTTCGTTTCGGTGCCTTGTCTTGTTTCATTGCCTACTTTAGTTCCTTGGCCTATTAAACTTGTACCTCTCTGTGAGTGTATGTATGTATGTGTGTGTGTGGGTGTTTGTGTGAAAATAAGCTCGATATAATTTCGAAGTTATTTGAATAATTGTAATGGTGGGGAATTTTAATTACGAGATACCTGATTTTGTTGCTTCTTCAACTGTCTTTGAGTCATCTGTCAATCAATCGATCAATCAAAATCAGTCAGCAAACCCGTTAGTCAGTCGGTGATCAATCAATCAGCCAATCAATAAACTAATCCGCCAACCAATCAATCAATCGATCTTTCGTTCATTCATTCATTCATCCAACCGACCATCAAACTCACAATTTGATTTGCCTTGCAATATGTGGCCAACGTGTTAGCCCTCATACAAAAACTGTCACCGACGACAACATCCTTATTAGCATTACTATTTTCCTTTATATTTTTATTTTCCTTATTATTATTATTACTACCGAAACCTGAATCATGTATTAAGGCGTAGACGTTTATATTAGCTGAGGATTTATTATTACTATTGTTGTTGTTATTATTATTATTATTATTGAGATTATTACTGTTACTGGTTAGGTATTTATAGTTTTGCTCAGCTATCAATCTATCCAGATCATTTATTTCCTCTTCAAACTCAGATTCCGGGCTTTTTGATTGGTCAAAAAATTTGAGCACAGAACTTGAAGCCTCAACTGATTGGCCGGCCAGCCAAGGTATGAAGTCTGAACTCAGAGAGAAAGATCTTATTGGTTGGGTTGAAAAAAAAAAAATTTGATTGGTTGATTGAATGGATAGGTAAATGGATGTATGTATGTTTGAGTAGATGGATGATAATTGCATGATTAAATGAGTGAATGATGAATGAGTGAATGAATACATTCAATCTGATTAAAAAACTGAATTATTGCGCTTGGAAGATTGATTACATGATGAATGAATGAATGAATGATTGATTGAAAGAGCGTAGATGATAGAATAAAAAAAATGAATGAATGAATGATTGATTGAACGAATGATCGAATGAATGCATAGATGAATGAATGATTTGGGACTAACTTAACAAAGTCAACGAGATTCAGAAAGGGCCTGGATATAATGTAAAGGTGACAGTCAACTAGATTCGAACGCAATTCTATATGAGGAACCCTGAACGGCAATATTACAATTATTATTATTTTAATAATAAATAATGTAATAAATATCATAATTAACAATAATAATAATAACAATAAAATTATAAGAATAATAAAAGATGCCTTACGCTCTCAGTTTAGTCATTCTTAATTCAATTTTATCTTCCAAGTAAGACTCTGGTGACAAGAAAACAATCTGAATGAATGGATTGAATGAATGGATTGAATGAATGAACTAATAAACGAATGTATGAATGCATATGTATGAATGAATTAACGAGTGAACTGTTAATAAATGTATAAATGGATAAACAATGGAATGAATGAATCAATGAATAATAAATGAAAAAAATAAACTGAAAAATAAATAAATGAATGACTGAATGTAAATAAAAAAATAGATAAAAAACTGAAAAAGAAATAAATATGTAAATTACCCTGTTCGTTTTGTCGAAACCGACAAAATCTCTATCTGAAAACATTGACAAAAATAATAATTATAATACTAGCAAACCTTATGAAATCAAATCTTGAAAATAAATTGTCAAAAAAAAAATAAAAATAGCAAAACACAAACTAGCAAGCATCAGGTAAAACCTTACTACAGTACCCACCTACACTCCTGTTAGATTCAGGCACCGGGACAGGAACGTCAGTTAGGTTAGGAGGAGAGCTGAGTAGCATCGATATTGATGCATTTTTTGATTTGTGGACTTGATCGAGTCTCCTTAGACAGAAATTTTCATCACAAATGAAATCACACGACACAACTATGACATCCATCTACAATTTAGTGATTAGTGAATTGGCGAGGTTGAGTTTGAAGAATAACGATGAAAAATATTATTCATAATATTATAACTAGGTTTTATAATTATTATTATCATTATTTATAGACCCTAATTTATTCCTAATTTAATCTAGATTATTACCTTATTATTATTATTCGAAAAATGTGTATAGCGCTAATTACAAACATTACCTTAATGTCTTGGAGCATGAACTTGATAGCATCTACTGTCCCAAGGTCTTCACTCTCATCATGATCTGGCAGGACAACATAATCTAACTTTATTCCTTTACCTTCTAAGAAATAATCCTTCAGTCCGTCTTGCAGCTTAGTTAGGATCAGTTTCGTTGTTACTATCTTCACCTCTGTTCATTTGGGAATTATTTTTGAGTAAATTATATATTGCAGTGAAGAGTTTTTAAAATTTTCAACAGTTAAACAGGCGCATCATATTATCTAATTATAATTTTTACAATAATAAATCACTTTGTTTTATAAAATAAATTCACTCAGATTTATAATAAATTCACTCGGATTTATAATAAATTCACATAGATTTATAAAAAATTCACTTTCATTTATAAAAAAAATTTGATAAAAAACCTTCAAAGCCACTGGTTTCAAGCCATTTAATTGGATAATAGATCATAGGCTTGTTAGCAATGGGCAACAATGATTTAGGGATGTCTGACGTCATCTGAATTAGTTGACTGCCCTTTCCACCTGCCATTATGATAGGTAGGTATTCAACCTTAGATGTTGTTATAGCTGCCATTTTCTTACTTTCAAGGAATATTTTTCTCTATTTTTTAATAAAAAAAATAATTAACCATTAATCACTGAATAACAAGCGTATGAGTGCCGGAATGAGCAAATGATGAAATAGTTAATTAAAAAAATAAATTAGTTAGACTTAATGTTGAATAAAGCACATGATTAGTATAGTACGTACCTATTTTTTCTATTTTAGTGAAACGATCGGAAATCACTAATTGCACTAATTAAGTCAGAAATGAATTAGTCGAAGCGGTTGATAAAATTTTAAAGATTTTTTTATCGTAACAAAAAATCCTAACATGCGTTATTCGTTAAGCTAACTTATAAGCATAGAAAAACAAACAGCCACTTAGAATTTTTTGTTGAAAAGTTAACTTAAGCCCAACAATTCTAGAGGTTACAAGTGCCAATTTCGCTGTTTTATTTAGCAATCATTCACTAATCGTATAAAATTAGTGCTTTTCTGATACAGAAAAAGGTTACCTTTTTTATTTTTAATTTTTTTTTCATTATTTCGTCCTTTCCAAAAGATAATAGTTTGGAGTTTATGCATGCTTGGATTAAAAAATTTAATTAAATTTGGCAGGATTAGTGGATTAGTCTAGTGTTAGCAGACTGACTATGATTGATTGATTAGCGTCGGTTTCCTTAAAATAAATTAAATTTTTTTAATGTCCGGTTAAGATTATAAATAACTTTATTTATTAAGTGTTGCAAGAAGAGTAAGATCAAATTTTAAAACGCATGTAACTGTACAATGTACATGTACAAGAGTACATAAAATGAATATAATTATATCATATATGAGGATATGACCTATGTATATATAAATGATAATAGAATTGATATAGAATCAATAGATAGATGTTTAAGTTGTAATTTTTTTATAATTTTTTAGTTAAAAAAAAAATAAAATATACTATTATAATATTATATAGAATATAGATTTTAATATTAACAATTAGATAAATAAATTAATTTTAATATTATTTGAAATTTTTCAGCCCAACCATCAAATATGCTTCAACTAAAGACCTTCATTACTCGAGTTAGTTTTTGCAATCAAATTTGTAACTGGGTCTACTCAAGACCATTATCGTCAGTATCATCATTAATGACAACAAGAAGGCAAAGAATAATAAATAATAAAACAGTAAATTCAAATAATTGTCACATCCCTAAAAATTTAAGAGTTCCAGATGTTTGTAATGCTAATTCAGTATTATGTTACTCAACTGAGGTTCCTAAGCTTGACTAGTTAGTGAAAATGATAATGATGATTATTAAAATTACATATAATATCATCTCAAAGTTTAAATTTTCTACTCCATGCAAGTCACTGCACCCACACATCTCTACTTTTTTTTAATTACCTAACCCATACCCCAGTGTATCAATAAAGTTCATACTGCCAGATGGTCAGGTGAAATTAGTAAATGCAAAACTAGGCAGTACCTTGCTAGATGTGGTCCTGGACAACAACGTGGCAATTGATGGATTTGGTTTGTGTCAAGATTATTATCACTAATAATTAATAGTTAATTAATAATTAATTGAATTATATTATATTATACAACATTATGTTGTTATTATATTTTATTATTATAATTATTTTTTCAAAATTATTAGGTGCCTGCGAGGGTACTCTTGCATGTTCAACTTGTCATCTGGTTTTTAGTGAGCAAGATTTCAATAAACTTCCTACCAAAGCTTCAGATGAAGAGCTAGATATGCTGGATCTGGCCTATGGTCTGACTGAAACGTAAGTGACGATGATAAAGATGACGGGATGAATGGGGTTGTGATGATTGATTTAATTATTTATCAAACTTATTTCTTACCAGTCCGCTATTGATTCATTCATTCTCTCATTTAATCAGTCCATAATTCATTCATTCCTTTATTCAATTTATCAGTCATTCAATTCGTTCATTCATTCATTCGATTTTTTCATTCATTCAACAATTCAGATCAAGATTGGGCTGCCAGATTAAGGTGACAGAAGACATGAACAACATGCAAGTGACCGTTCCAGCGGGGATGGCCGACGCCAGGTTTCGATAATGATGTCGACGATGGTGATGAGGATGACGACGACGATGATGATGATAGCAATGATATACATGATGATAAAGATGTCTATGGCTTTTGTGATAATGATAATATTGATGTTTTTTTTTCTATAATAGAGCAGATTTTAAATTGTGATTATGGAAGATAATGGTGATTGATTGATGTGTGTCAAGATTATATTAATAAAAAATGATAAAATTTATCATAAAAGGTGATCAAGAGATTATGAAGTGCGGGATAAGTACGGTGAAATCCGGTGGCTTACTGAAGTCGAAGGTTGGCTTACTAGGATTGAACTATAGTCACCCTTTTTTTTTTACACTATTCGATCATGTTAAAAATTTGTTTGCTCATGAAATAAACGGCCTAAATAGATCAAAATTGTTATTTGACCAACTATCTTCATATCTTCATTATATTCTGCTCATGCTCATAGAAATTGGTTACTGAAATCATACGTTTGCTTACTGCAGTGGCTTACTGGGTCTCATACAACTGTGTCATTGCGGTTTTCTGTACATCTAATGTTTTAAATAAATCAATATATTCATATCACAATTATTTTTGTCAATATAAATATAGAAATTGCTTTTGTCTGGTGAAAAACAGTGGCTTACTGAAGCCATGGGTTGGCTTCATCGGATTTTTATTTGCATGTAGGCCCTATACAATAATATGAGATCAACCAATCAATCAACCAGCCATTCATTTAATCAACTAATTAACCAACCAATCGACCAATCAATGAACTAAATTGAATGAACCAAACAAACAAACGAATTGTGATAAAAACGAAAAATAAATATTTGCAAGGCTTGTTCAAACTCGAACTAACACCTAACCGTACACATCCACAAACAATTTCAAGATTTTAGTAAAGAATGAAAAACACAATAGTTGCTTTTATTTGAATTCATTCAAAAATGGAAAGTGGCGGTTAATTAAAATTGTAAAAACGTCAATTTTTAAAAAAATTCGAATTTTAAACAAACAAATATAACAAAATATCGACCGAAAAAAATAATTATTATCTATTATTATTATTATAAACACTCCTTAGTAGTTCACTGAGAATAATAATCCACATAACATGAACATTTAGTAAGAACGGTTCACAGTATATCCATGCTTAATTAACATACCAAACAGAAATTATTTTATACTGCATATATAACAAATAAAATCAAGAAATTTCAAAAAACCAGTCAACATTTAATAAATAAATAAATAGACATGATTAAAAAGATTGTTCAAAAAGGTAAAATTTAAAGCGACGACGAGAATAAAATGTAGTTTGTTTTGTTGGTGTCGGACTGTGAAGCGAAAACAAACAAACATATCACAAAAAACTAGTAAGAAGTCGCAAGAATAGTAGTCAGTCACCTACCTACAATTAAATTACTCTCAGGGCCCTAGCTTACTTATAATCATTAACTCAACTCACCTACCTACAAATATGTTTTTCTACGTTTTTGGAATTTTACATGTTTTAGGTATTTTATTTTACAGCGTTTTTATTTTACTTGAAACTTTTTAACTAATGTTAAGCCCTAGCCTACCTACGATTGTTCAACTCATCTCAATCCCTAACTTACCTACGAATTAAATTAAGTCTGGTAAAGAAAATAGAAAGTTGAAGAGAAACATAACGACAACGACACCGAATGAATGGATGTTGTGTATGTGTGTGTTGTATTGATGTGTGTGTGTAAATGTGCGTGCGTGTACTCTCCAGAAACTTCTTCGCTCACTACCGGCGAACCTCCATTGCACCGACCATCATCTGATACGCATCGATGGAATGAATTTGACCGGATACTGAAAAACAATAAATTGAAAAAAAATTCATTAAAATAAAAAACAATCCATTGGAAAATATAGTCAACTTATATTTTTGAGATGACACTCAATCCTCTGTTCAAATTCGAGTACCTTCATATTTCCCTTTAATATTATCTTCGAATTGTCATTGGAACGATCATTATGAGACCACCATCTGAAACGTGCTGACGCCCACCACAGCCCACCTCTCATCACTCTGTAGACATTTTTTTATTAGCGTAGTAGTAAATCAAGGAACAAAAGAACGAACGAACGAATAAATGATTAATAAATCAATTATTCAATTAATGAATAGACTGAATTAACGAATCATTTAATGGAAGAATAATTTAAAAGGTTGAGTGATAAAATGAACAAATGAGAAAAATAAAAAAAGAAACTTAACCTTACTTCAAAAATCGTCGTTACTGTACTCCATTGCACCGACCACCACCATCTGGTCGGCACACGAGATTTCATCCAAACTGCAGTGTCAGTCGAACAGCCAACGAGCTGATTCTTCCTACTCCACCATCATGAGACCATCATTTGAAACGTGCTGACTCCCACCACTGCCCACCTCTCATCATTCTGTAGACAATTTGCGTAGTAGTAAGTGAATGTTAAAACTTTAGAAGCAAAAAAAACTATAAAATAAAATAATGTCAAATAAATAGTATTTTAAAATAATAAAAAGAGTAAAATGTAAAAAAACTTACCGTCGTTCATTCGACAAAGGCAGAATGTTGAATGCGGTTCGGTTCCTACGTTGTCTTCCAAAACAGCCCGTGTTGAGGAAGAAAAATAAAGGAAAGATTCTCATCAGAAAGCTTAGCGGTGCCTGCATCTCATATTGCTTAATAAAAATAATCCTGTCTACCTATTCAATTACCTTAACTAATCTATATTAAACTATTAATGGTACGATAGTCGAAAGTCCCCCTTCATTCTCCCTCCTTGCACAGAGGTTCACCGATAGCCAGGGCACCGGATAGTAAACCATTGCCGTGCGGATAGTAGACTATTGCCGTGCGGATAGTAAACCATTTGCCGTCCGGAAGCCGTGCGGGTAGTAGACTATGGCCGTGCCGCATGGTAAATCATTACCGTGCAGATAGTAAACCATTGCCGTCCGGATAGTAAACCATTGCCGGTTCACCACTGGCCACCAAGGCTTACCTCTGACAAGAGACTTTGAAATCCAGAGTCAATCGGCTATCGTACCCTCAACTTACCTATTCATTACAATTAAGCCCTAGCTTACCTAAAATTACAAAACTCAAGAGCCCAATTCATTTAGCCAATCGGCACCCACCCCACCACCTACGTAATGCCTTGGGCTCCAACTTAGTAATAATAATATAAAACTTAAACCCTATATCCATTAATGAGTATGTGTTACAACGTAGCCTTAACTTACCTATTCATTACATTACGGTCCTAGCTTACCTAAAATTACATAACTCAAGAGCCCAATTCATTTAGCCAATCGGCGCCCACCCCACCACCTACGTAATGCCTTGGGCTCCAACATAATAATAATTAATGAACTTATATTAGCCTACCTATCGATACACTTACAGCGTTTTAATTTACATTACAAGATATTTCCTAGAATTACATTATTGCCCTTAAACTACCTATGAAATTAAATTACTCTCAACCTTAGTAATAATAAATTAGAATGTGTAATGAAAATAAAATTACGCTCAAATACTAACATATGTGTTTATGTATGTATTTGTGTGTGTATGTAATACGCTGATGCGTGTAATGCGGATGCAAGAAAAAATAGAAGCGATAAAATTACGCTGCCTACCTATTCAACTACATTAGTGTTGGATGCTTCTTATCTATCCTACCTACAGTTAAAATTATGCCTATCTAACTTACCTATATAGCTACATAATATAATTGTGTGTGTGTGTGTGTGTGTGTGTGTGTGTGTGTGTGTGCGGGTGAGCATTCTTACTTAATGTTAAATTACAGAGAAAAACAGAGAAAAAAGAATAAAACGTATCCCAGCCAGGCGTGTATTCTTTGCCACTGAATGAATGAACGTAGCCTGACATCTTCCATGATGAACTCCTCTGGAAGCTTCAACCTGAATGAAATGAATAAAATGAAAAAATCATATTTATTTAATCAATTTAAAAGAAAATAGAAAAACGAGCCGCGGTGAAACCCGCCAGCCGGAAAAGCCAGCCAACTGGCAAAAAAAGAACCGCAAAGAAACCGTAAAACGAACCCCAGCCAGGCGTGCATTCTTCGCCACTGAATGAATGAACGTAGCGTGACATCACAACCATTCTGATCATCCACGATGAACTCCTCTGGAAGCTTCAACCTGAATGAATGAACCTGAATGAACCTAAATAAATGGAAAAATCTTATTTATTTAATTAATTTAAATGAAAATAGAAAAACGCAAAGAAGCCGACCGGTCGGCAAAGAAAAAACCTCAAAGAAAGGTATCTATATAGGATTTATGCTCTATATAACTCTATATAACTCTATATAACTCTATATAACTCTATATAACTCTATATAACTCTATATAACTCTATATAACTCTATATAACTCTATATAACTCTATATAACTCTATATAACTCTATATAACTCTATATAACTCTATATAACTCTATATAACTCTATATAACTCTATATAACTCTATATAACTCTATATAACTCTATATAACTCTATATAACTCTATATAACTCTATATAACTCTATATAACTCTATATAACTCTATATAACTCTATATAACTCTATATAACTCTATATAACTCTATATAACTCTATATAACTCTATATAACTCTATATAACTCTATATAACTCTATATAACTCTATATAACCATGCATACTACCACATTCAATCAATAAAAATCCCACTAAAACCAGGAACCACCGTGTACCTGTTAAATGTATGTTGTGAAACAAAACAAAACAAAAAACAAAACAAAAAACACACCACCAAGTAAAGTAAAAGAATAGAAGTCCTTAACCTACCTATGTAACTAAATTACCTCATGCCCTAGCCTACCTATATAATAAATTAATTTTTAATCTCACCTACCTATGTTTCATTAACTTAACTTAAGACTCATGAAGAAAGAGAAATAGGAGTAAAACAGAACATAAAATACTACCACACAGACAAACATGATGTATGTATGTATGCATGTATGAGCAACCGCTAAAGAACCAACCTAAAATAAAAAAAAACAAACGTACAGACCACAGACAAACATATATAACCGCGCAACTCTATATAACTCTATATAACAAAATAAATAAAAATAAAAAAATTATAAAAATAAAATAAATGAGATCAGGCAGACTGCTTCAAGCGAGGCAGAATGCCTGATCTGATTTTCATGCTTTCTCAGCTCCTATTTATACTCGTTTCAACCATACATTCTCATCATTTTAATCATTCACATTAGTAAAAACATTTTTAATGTATGTGGTACACTATTATACAGTCTTAACAACAATGCTAACCGTACTGAATTGACGTCATCGAACGAACGCATTCGAAACATTTTGATTGGCTGGTCGAATCTGCTATATTGCTTTTTATATAAACATATTATCTTATATATTATATCATGAAGAATTCAAAATAGTTTGAGACCACACCTTGCTTAACATCCGATTCCAAGCTGAGCCAAGCCGAGCCGAGCCAATATGCGTAGATTTATAAACGCTTTTATATTACAATTTTGCTCGCTTTATATTATCTATTATATAAATTCATTATAAAAGCAAGAGTAATCAGTGCTACATATGTACTCAGGCAGTTCAAATTTTTCTGGGGAAATTCTAAATAGTTTGAGACCACACCTTACTTAACATCCAATTCCAAGCCAAGCCAAGCTGAGCCAATATGGGTAGATTTATAAGCGCTTTTATATTACAATTTTGCTCGCTTTATATACGAATATCCCCCATATCGATATCAAAGAAATAACGCGAGCGAGTTTAACAAATATTTCATTCAAAATTTAATTAAAATAGAACATAAACTCAAGTTTTATTTGCAAAGTAATTCCAGCCAATCATTTAAACACGCACACCGTTCAATTGAACTATCTTGCAATATATTTCTTTTTATGCTTATCAGTTTTCCAGATTTTGAAAAAGCTTGTTCTCTTAGTGTGGAAGTTGAAGGGATTCATTTCACTAAGTATAGAACACCGCTAACGTGACGTCATTTTCTCCAACGATTCCGTAACAAATTCTCCCTCTTACTTTAAATATTTTCTTTGATGCTTTTTAATAAGTTAGATCACAATCATCATCATAGATATCACGATAAAATCAAATGGAAATTTTTTTTAATTTGTTGATAAAAGTAACTGATATATAGTAAGAAGTTTAAATTTTCTGAGAGAATTCAAAACAATTTAAGACTACACCGTTACACAATTGTACAGTTTGAATGTGTAAATATTTTTTAAGCATCATTCTTCTCAGTAATTTCTCTAATTCCGGCATTTTTTAAAATGTAAAACACTTTTTATTAATAAATAAAAACTTAATCTAAAGCTAATACCATTCAATTTTCTGCATTTTCACCATTTTTTAACGTTTCATTATGTTCACCTACGGTTGCCAATGGTGACGCCTGCGAGCAAATATAAACAGATACAAATTAAGACCGTAAATTAGTCTTCCGTCGTTATAACAATATTAACAATTCACAATTAGCCATTATAAATTATACCATTATTCCATTAATATTAAACTGTAAGTAATAATATTAATAGAATAAAAATATTAAAATTTCTTTTGAAAAGAATCACGTATTAGTTACTTGTTAGGATTAGCGTTAGAATGTTAGATTTAAAATAAAAATGACTCAAATAGACAGTGGCCGTTGTAATAATAACAATAATGATAACTTCACCATGACATCATGTTGAACATAAAAAGCCTGGTTAATAGTAATGATCAGGATGATAACGATGATAGTGATAAAGCTGACGCAGATGACGATGATAAAGATGGGGTTCTCAATATTTTTTTGAAAAATTTAAAGGAAACAAGATCAAAAAACAACTTAACAGCAAGAAGTAGTAGTAGCAGTAGCAGCAGACTTTCAGTTATCGGCAGCGACAACAATGACAACACCAATGATATCAACATCAATAACATTAAGAACAACATCACAAAGAACAACAATAGCAGTAAAATGCCTATCACTAATAATGACAACCAGGATAATGACATTGCAACCACCTCTAACAACAACAAAAACAACAAATTGGTCTTAACCAACAACAACAGCATAAACGTTGATGATGTCATTACGACAGCCAGATCAAACAACAACATCAGTAGCATCAACAGTACCAAAGATACTACAAATAACTTTACCAAAGATACCAAAAACATCAACAACGACATCTTCAATTTCGTCCCCGCCAGTCGATTAAATACTCAAAGATCAGAGTCCATCTTTACAAACATCATCAGAACATCAGATGATGAAAACAACAATACTGATGAGATACGCATTCATGATAATGATGATATAAAAAAAAATGATGATGTTGATAATGATGATGAGAATGATGATGGTGGTGGTGATAGTAATCGTATTACTATTTCTAATAATAATATTGATGATGTTGTTGATAACGACGACGATGATATTAACATGATAACGAAAATTCGTGACAGATATAAATCGCTTATGAGTTCTTACAGCATTAATAATAATAATAATGATAATGATAATAATAGTAATAATATTAATGATAATAATAACGATAATAATAATGAAAATAATAATGATAATATTAATGATAATAATAATAATAATAGCAATAATGATAACGATTTTGGTAATAATGATGATGATGATAGTTCAATTTTTCAAAGCGTAAGTGAGGTACACGAAAAACTCATACAAGGAACATTGCGTAGTGATAATATTAATAATAATTACGATAATAATAATAATCACAATAATAATAATGATGATAATAACGATGATGAGGATGATGAAAATGATGAAGATGACGGAAATACATCGAATAGATCAGTGAATGATCTTCTGAGAAAATTGAACTTATATGAGAAAACGAATTCAGAGTTAAATTACGAATCCCAGAAAAATAATAACAATGATAATAAACGAAATAATAATAAAATTAAGAAAATTAATAATACAACTCCAAAAGCATCAGAAGCAGGAAGAAATTTTGCATCTTCATACAAAAGCATCCAGCCGCATCAGCGCCATCATCCTGCCTCTCACCATCTCCCAACCATGAAATCCTTCCAAGCCACTTATAAGAGTAAATTTGATTCCCACAACAACATTAATAACGGTTATAGTAATAAACTAAATAAAACGACAGCCTCAAAAAATTACAACTGCAACGACAAACCCACCACTGACGACGACGTCAACACCATTGCGTCACATCGACCACCATCATCTGCAAGTAATACAAAACCCCAACTCCCACCACGAAAGTACCAAACCCCACAAACAACAAGCACCTCTTTTAGAAAACCCCCCATACCCAACTCTAACCCCACCGAGTTACTGGTAGTAACAGCACGAACGTCATCGTCAGCCACCACAGCAGCCACAAAATCCGCGAACGAAAAACGTAGAAATTCATCGTCGACGCCGCGCCCGGCTTTCAGGGCAGGCTCTGTAACAGATTTTGCGCGAAAAATTGACGAAGACGGCCGGCGGAATGTTTCCGGTCGAAATAATCCTTACTGGAAACTTAAACCTTCGCCAAGGCACCTCGAAAGTTTCGTGGATGAAAGTTTATTTGGACCCGTAAGTGGCGACATGGCGGTCATAGTAAAAGGGGCCGGTTGGAGAGCCCCGTGGGCCGAGAAGGCCAAATCTGAGAAGCCCCTGTTCTGTGATTATATCGCTGATAGAAGAATTATTAACAGGAAATAATTCCTCGACGATGTGCAAAAAATAGGCCTGTATGAATGTACGCGCGTGAGTAACAATCATGAGGTATACGTCTATCCTTTTATAATAAGATAAAACACAGTCGAATGATTCACGTTAAAATTCTCAAGTCCTAAAGGATGAACAAGACAAAACATATATTTTTTTCCGTTAAAACTATATATGTATATATATATAAATAATATATATATCCATGATTATTACATGTACCCACAATAGAAAAAGTATGTATACACCATTTAATTATTAATTTCTTAATTACTAGTTATAGATTCACTAATTGTCAGTTTTTGTACGACTAAAAACCGCATCAAATTATTTCCTGCCCAAGGATATGAGATTTTAGGAGAATAATTGTCATAAGTCAATTAGTGAACCGTGGAAATAGGATACGTATAAATTAAATTAGAGTGCATGTTTTTCTTCCCTACCATCCTTTACCAATATTTGCCCAAATCTTTCTTTATTTCCTTTAAATTTAAAAGGTCGACAATAAATTAATCAATGGATTAACATTGATCTTTAACAACATTTATTCATTAATTTATTAATTTGACCGATTAATTAATTAATTAATCATGATTATTATTGTATCATTGAAAATTGTATTAACAGTGCTAATAAATGATTAAACGGAATGTGTTAATCAGTTTGAAAGAAATGAACGAACGAATGAATGAATAAATGAATGAGCGAACAAATGAATGATTGAATGAATGAATGAATGAATGAACTAACCAATGGTTCAGTTGTAGGAGAGTACCTCTTCACAGGCTCGCCATTCTTGTCAATCAGAAACTTGGTGAAATTCCACTTGATAAAACTGAATGATTAAAAAAAGTGAATAAATGAATGAATGAACGAGTAGATAAATGAATGAATGAATGAATAAAGGGTTGAGTGCTTGAACAAGCGAATTATTGAATGAATGACTTTGAAATTGTTTGAAAGATTGAATGAATAAATGAATATATTTTCAATTAATTGACTTCCTGAAGAAATGATTGAAAGAATGAATGAATGAATGAAAAAACGAATGAGAAAATGATTGAATGAATGTACTAATCCCTAACTCGCCCAAGGTACCACCCTGTTTCGACTTCAAAAATTGAAATAAGGGATGTGCCTTACCACCGTTGACATCAATCTTGGCAAACATATCAAAAGTTACACCATAATTTTCAGTCACAAATTTCTTTATCTCCGCTTCGGGCCAAGGTTCCTTAAAAATTATCATTTTAAAAATTATCATTTCGAAAATTATTATTTAAAAATTATAAATTAAATAATTATGAAATAATTTTGAATTAATACACAAACACTTAGTTAATCAATCAGCAACCAACCAATCACACAAACAACCAACCAACCAATCAACTGACCTGACCCCCGAACTGATTGCAGGGAAAGCCAAGAATCTTGAGTCCCTTAGAGCAGCTAAACTCGTCGTACAAAGCTTGCAGCTGCTTATAATTCTTCTCGGTTAAACCTCACTTACATGCACCATTGAAAATAATGGCTACATGACCTCTGGTGGGATAAATATTGACATTAATTAATAACTAAATATAATAATATCAATTATTATTATTAATTAAATTAATAATAATAACCAACCTATATTTTTCTAAGGAGACATCATTCCCATCAATGTCCTTGACAGTGAAATCGTAAATGGATGTTGGCTTCTGTTGGGAAGCCTGTGGAATAAAATAAATCTAAAAAGTAACCAGCAGACTAGCACCAGTAACATGACAATAATTCTACGAATAGATGATAATTTTGCAAAATTAAATAACCGATACGGAAATTCAAACATACCATTTTTCTATTTTCAACAAACTTCGGAGAAATTAGGTTACTTTTGCGCACAAGTGTCGAAGCAAAAACCTTGCGACAATAACTAAAAGTGAACATTGATACTAAATGAGATAACCTTTTTAAATAATGAGACGCATTTCCCTTAGCAAAGGTCAAGTATTGTTATATAACATATATAGTAACAGCCAACAGAATTAATATATGATAATATGCTACAAGATTAGCATATATTAACTAGAAATGTCATTCAGAACTTCATTTTATATTCCATCGTCAATTACTTTTCTTTTATTTTTCTTATTATTATTATTTATTTTATTCTAACATATTTTATTTTTCATGTTTTATCATTTCTCTTCCTCACTTTTTGTATTTATTTTCTCACTTATTTGTTTAACTTTGTTTTACTGCCATGCATGTTGTTACAGTTTCTTCGTCTGTCAGATCCTGATTTTTAAAGAATAATAATAAAAAAAAAATTCAAAAACATATTCATTCTTATAAATATACAAAAATGAATTAATCTTAACCTTTAATTGACACGTGACTTATAGATTGAATAATGATATATGTGATATAGCATTGATACATAAGAAACATGTGTAGATATTATAATGGATACATGATATGTATGTAATTATATAATGGATATCCATATATCCATGCATGTAACTGCACGAAATATTTCGCAAGATTATTAGTTTATACATAGGATGATGCATTGCTATAATTTAGGTGAAAATTCAATCGAATACATGATGAATATGGCGACGATGACGACGATAATGATGGAAACGATGATGAAGACGATATCAAGAAGAAGCAGCAGAGACCACACTGGAGTTGGATGATGACTAAGAGGAACGAAATACTATCAACTGACTATTACGATGTTACCTGCCTACCTATGTAATGTACATCACCATCGTCGTCATCATTATCGTCATCGTTATCATCATCGGCGCCATAGCCGTCATCATCATCATCATCTACGTATTTTTTCCTTTAGAGATATAGGCGCTTTTAATAATCTATTCCATTTATAAGATAGAGAGTATCTATATGTTCTCAATATATATGCTCTAAAGATGTTCCATATATTACATATTATATATATATATATATTCATACAAACACATACATACATACATTTATATATATATCTAATATATATAACATATAGCATATATAGGACATATCACTTGAGCTGACAATACCTTATCTGATGTTAAAACTTAATATTGTGTGTGCTGCACGAGGAATGTTCCTGGGATGCTTCGCCATGATGATGGCGACGAAGACGACGAAGATGATGACGATGAAGACGACGAAGAAGAAGACGATGATGATGATATTTGTGATGAGACTGACTTAGAAAAAAAGTTTAGTGTATGAAATTTGACTCGATATTTCATTAAAATAGCCATTTTGGAAGTAATTTGAAGTAGTCAACCTTCGTATGCTAAAATCATCATCATCTTCTCCTTCTTCATCATCATCGTCATCAGTATCGCTACAGAATCGTCGTCGTCGTCATCCTACTACCCCTACCTCTTATCACTTTATTTTTACCATCACCAATATTTGAAAATAAAAATGAAAGAAAGAAGTTAGAAATATACAAATATGTATGTTTGTAAGTGTGTATATATGTTTGTATGTGTGTATGTATGTATGTATGTGTTTATGTATGTATGCATGTATGTATGTATGTATGTATGTATGTATGTATGTATGTATGTATGTATGTATGTATGTATGTATGTATGTATGCATGTATGTATGTTTGTTTGTTTGTATGTTTGTATGTATGTATGTTTGTATGTACGACCTGAATATTTTAAGACGGGAGCAAGCAACAGGATGCTGTCTTGGTGGTGATGACGATGATAACGATGATGATGATGATGATGGCGATGATGATGGTGGTGACGATGATGGTGGTGACGATGATGGTGGTGACGATGATGGTGGCAATGATGGTGGTGTCGATGATTATGATAACTATGATTATAATGGCGATGATTGGATGATAGCAATGATAATGTCCCATGTTGTACATAATACATACACAGACAAACACACAAGATACGAACATGCACACATGCACACAAACCGACATAAACACACATACAAAAATACATACAAACGTACATACAAACATTCACAAAGACTTCGGGAATAACGAAATAGAAATGCTTATCTCTGAAATATATGTACAGATATATCTACCATGTGACTGGGTAATATAATACATGTACATACATACATACATACATACATACATACATACATACATACATACATACATACATACATACATACATACATACATACATACATACATACATACATACATACACACGTTGATGCACACACACAACAATCGACAGCACAGGAAAAGTTTCTTTGTTGAGTGAGCCAAGAAGAAAGTTGATGCAGCTGTTTGGTGTTCTACCTACCTACCTACCTACATACCTACAATATGTATGTATGTATGTATGTATGTATGTATGTATGTAGGTATGTATGTATGTATGTATGTATGTATGTATGTATGTATGTATGTATGTATGTATGTATGTATGTATGTATGTATGTATTTATGTATGTATGTAAGTATGTATGTATGTATGTATGTACGACTTGGAGATAAACTGATGATAATTGTGCGACTGCTTTCCATGTTATGGAATATAAATAAGGAGTCGGGACAGAGGCGATCAACTATAATTAATAATAATAATTATAACTATTATAATTATTATTATTTTTTTATTATTATCTTTTTTTTATTCATGTTTGTTTTATATTTATGGTTTTTAAAAAATTTTTAAATAAAGTATTTCTTATAAATATTTATTTATTCAATTGTAATTATAAACACCTGTCAAACTTTGTCAATCAATCAATCAATCAATCAATCAACCAATCAGTCAATTAATCAATCAGTCAATTAATCAATCAATCAATCAATCAATTAACCAATCAATCAATCGACCAACCAACCAACCAACAAATCGATCATTCATTTATTCATTCATTCAATCAATAAATCAATAAAAAAATGGCCTCTCTACTGGAAGATAGCTTTGTGACAAGTGAAGCGGAAATGAACGGTATAAATAACGATGATAATGACGTCATGAACGACAACAACAACATCAACAATGATCTCAACAACAACAACAACAACAACAACAACAACAACAGCAACAACATCAACAATGATCTCAACAACAACATCAACAAAGATCTCAACAACAACAACAACATCAACAATGATCTCAACAACATCGACGATGACAACAACAACAACAGCAACGACATCATGGTAAACTGCGACCAGTTTCTTTCGTTCTCTATCATTTTAACTTTTGAATAAATCAAAGAATTAGCTCCTCATAAATTTCCATTAAAACTTCTCCATTATTTTTATGTTTTTTACACACACATATATATACACAGACACACACATACACACACACACACATACACAGACACACACATACACAGATACACACACACACACAGCATACCTGTTGAATAAACATCGCATGGAAAAATGAATGAATGATAAATCCCTATGCTGATAATCTCATAAGGCTAGATGATCGTCTTTTAGCTTTCATACATACATACATACATACATACATACATACATACATACATACATACATACATACATACATACATACATACATACATACATACGTACATAAATACATACATACATACATACATACGTACATACATACATACATACATACATACATACATACATACATACGTACATAAATACATACATACATACATACATACGTACATACATACATACATACATACATACATACATACATACATACATACATACATACATACATACATACATACATACATACATACATACGTACATAAATACATACATACATACATACATACGTACATACATACATACATACATACATACATACATACATACGTACATACATACATACATACATACATACATACATACATACATACATCTATATTTACGTGAGCATATGATTTCAATTATGAAGAAGACCGAGAAATCTGCGGCGGAAATTTTCACTTTTGTTGTTGTTGTTTGAATGGTGCTGTTGTTGTTTGTGTGATGTTGTCGTCTTTGTTGCGATGGTGAAAAAGATGTTGTTGTTGTGATGATGTGATAAGGATGTTGTTGTTGTGATGATGATGATAATGATGATGTTGTTGTGATGATGATTATAATGCTGTTGTCGTCTTCATGATTCTTACAGATTTGACAAAAACTTCAAATAATAATAATAATTTTAAATTATTATATATATATATATATTGTTATTATTATTATTATTATTTTTATATAATTAATATTTATATTATAATTATTATTATTATTATTATTATTATGACTTCTTCCGCACAGTCACGTTCTTTAGTTTAAGGTTTGTACGTAACGTAATACAGCGGGCTGAAGATGATGATAAAAATTATTATTATTATTATTATTATTCAAGTAGTAGTAGTAGTAGCAGCAGCAGCAGTAGCAGTAGTAGTAGCAGCAGCAGTAGTAGTAGTAGTAGCAGCAGTAGTAGTAGTAGTAGTGGTAGCAGCAGCAGTAGTAGTAGTAGTAGTTCCATCAGCAGAGGTAGTAGCAGTAGTAGTGGAAGATTGACGAATGTTCAACAGATGATGCGCATACTTTAACTTCCATTGTCTCTTTCCTTTCACTTCCTCCATCTTTCTTACTCTTCTTTTAGTCACACACACTCTCTCTCTCTCTCTCTCTCTCTTTCTTTCTTTTTTTCTCTCTCTTTCTTTCTTTCTTTCTTTCTCTCTCTTTCTCTATTTTTTTTCTCTGTCAATTTTTTATTCTTTCATTCAATTGGTCATTAGAAAAGTTTATTTGTCTCTATCATCTAAGGTCCAATAATTTATTACCAGCTCCGTAATCTCTTTTTCTTTTTCTTTTTCTTTTTTATTCTCTCTCTCTTTCTCTCTCTCTCCTTTTTTCTTTCTTTCTATATATATATATATATATATATAAATACATACATATATATACGTATATATATTATATATTTATATATATATATAAATAAATAATCAAAGAAGTTAAAAGTGACTGGAAGTTGTTTGTGGACTTACAGATGCCCTGGCATACATATAGTATATACAAATATAGTATATATATAAATATAGTATACATACATACATACATACATACATACACACATACATACATACGCACCTACATACAAAGCAGAGCCTTGGTATAGGTACGTTATCATATCAAGTTTTGGAAGAGCTTAATGACTTGCGTGTGCTTGTGTGCACGAGTTTGTGATGATGATTGTGATGATGGTGATGATGATGATTGTGATGATGATGATGACGATGATAATCGTTCTATTGAAGAATAAGTTTCATTCAATCACGATGACGAGAATGACTTAATAAGGGTAATAATCAAAAATCAAAAAAGACGACTATAATGACATAGCAGTAATAATAATGATAATAATAACAATGGTTATTGTTATGATAATGACGATGATGAGGAGGATGAAGATGATGATGATGAGTAGGATGAAGAAGATGAAGATGAGGAGGATAAAGATGATGATGACAAATCTGACGATGACGACGACAACGATGTGCATGAATGTCTTACTGCAAGGTAGCAAGGGAGAAGTTTCTTGGATAGCTATGTAGTTACAA